TCATTGTCCAAAAGTCAGATTGCCGCCTTTGATAATAGTCGACTCAATTATAACAAAATATAACTTAACGATTAATAACGATAGACTTTTCACTGTACGCAAGCGTACTTTTGGGAGCAAGCGGAACGAAGGCGCGGTGCGGGACGCAAGATTCGACTGATCTACCAATAACGCGCTCGATACGATTTCCCCTGCCGTCGCGCCTCACCCTCACCACCAAAGTGATCTAAAATTCGGTTCTGCGCAGTCAAGGTCATTTGCTCACGATGTTTGCCGGTTACTATACCATGTATTTGACGCACACACGCATGCATACTATTTATTGTCAAACTTTTGTTCTTAACGTATGTTGTCAAATTTAGATTAAATATTGTTTGTCTTTGTTAATATTTTTTATAGTGTAGTCTTGGCGAAATTTGTGATTATAGAAGTATAAAATACTATAATAGTGTACACACTTAAAATTCCAATTAATTATAGTCGAATTTCGACTACTGCGGGACCTCTAGTTTTATGTTATTATAATAAGTCCAAGTTGCAAATGAAACAGGTTTATTAGAACATGATTCAATACTGTAATGTGTTTGTATGTGCAATTAAACTTAGTACATAGTGACGAACAAAGCAAGACCAAAGTAAATTTTGCTCATCACTAATTTACCCAGAAACCATTCGGCTCTAAAATAAACGCTAGTGTTTCTTAAGTTTTTTTATTGCTTAGTTAGGTGGACGATCTCACGGATCACTTAGTATTAAGTGATCACCGGAGCCAATTGTAATTGTAACAACGTAAGCACTGCCACCCAACTTGAAGTCTTCAAACAGGCGTTTTCCTGTCGCTATAACAAAAATTATTCTTATAGATCCTTTTTATTTTCAAACAGTGGTTATTTCTTTTTTTTTTATACTTACTATTAAAATTTTACAAAGAAAACTAACAATACAAAAAACCATTAATATTTTGATCCACTAAATACATGTGGTGACGCTATTTTAACTCATAAAAATTTTGGATCTAAGAATCTGTCGTTTAGTCATGCATATACCTACTTCTTGTCTTGGTATTGCTATTCCTTCGGATCAATTTTGCTCATCAATATTAAATACGCATAATAATTAACATAATGTCAATTCCAAGAAGACTAGGGGTAGGTACCACCACCCCGCCTATTTCTGCCGTGAAGCAGTAATGCATTTCGGTTTGAAGGGTGGGGCAGCCGTTGTAACTATACTTGAGACCTTAGAACTTAATCTCTAGGTGGGTGGCGCATTTACGTTGTAGACGTCTATGGGCTCCAATAACGAACCACTCAACATCACGTGGGCTGTGAGCACGTCCACCCATCAAAGCAATAAAAAAAAAATAGTTTTACGGTTTAATATCGTAATTTTTTTGTCATTATATTATTTACTAGCTGACCCGGCAGACTTCGTAGTGTCTCAATCGACAAATAAAAGACCTAAACTTTTGTATAAAATAAACTTAAAACAAATAAAGTCCGACGGGGGACGCAGCAAAATAAAAATAAAATTGTTATTTTTATTTAATTTCGAGCATTTTCATATTTTTCTACCTTATAACCTTCTCTGGACTTCCACAAATAATTCAAGACCAAAATTAGCCAAATCGGTCCTGCTGTTCTCGAGTTTTAGCGAGACTAACGAACAGCAACTCACTTTTATTTAAATAGATAGATAGATAGATATAGATATCATAAAATTATTCGGTAATTTGTTCGAATATTCATTTTCTTTGTACCACCAAAGAAGCACCTTCGGAAGCATTTTCTAGACGACCACAGTACGATACTTGAAATTACAAGAAAAGAAAGAAAAGCGGATCGCTCTGTTTAGAATACGACTTACCCTTTGCCGGAAGCTACCGAATTTCCCAACGAGAAGTCCAGTCCTAATAAACACTGCCAAATCCATTACCGTACATCCGTTAAGCCTATAACTTCGATTGAAATACGAAATTATCTATCGCAATACTTAGCTAACAATCAACCGTCTAATCGAAGCTTAAAAATAAAATCCGGCCTCACTTTTGGGATGTTTCGGAATTCGTGGAAAAAAAAATTATTAAAAAAAGGTCTAATATTTAAAAAAAAGAACATGCACGCTGAGTTTCTTGCCAGTTCTTCTCAGGACGGAGGCTAGTTTTTGTGAATTGGCGGTAGTTTTATTTGACGTTCAGCAAGTATGTACTTTCATTTATGTTGAATAAAAAATTATGATTGATTGATTTGATTGATTGATTTATTGATTGGTGTTTCTAGTAACGCGTGGAGTTCAAGGGCTTTACGGTAGTAACCACCAAAGCACCAGAACCCATAGACGGAAGATAATCCACTATACTATCTGTTGCACTTGCTTCGTACGGTTGCTTCGCGGTACTTGAGCAGAATTGCTTCTTCACGCGCGAACCCACAATAGGTTCTCGGTAACACGAAGACGGTTACATACCGCCGATGAGACTGACATAAGGCATCCCTTTTGCAATGACCAGCGATGACGTAAATTAGGGTAACCACACATTGTGACACAGCAATTGAGTTGATATGAATTCTACTTTTTATTATTACATATTATTATTTTTACGCGCTGCGGTTCGGAATAAACAAAATCCCACCAAAGTACAACTAAAAACTGTATTCAACGCTTAGAACACTTAAAACACTTCACAAACACTTTAAAATTCTCAATTCGCTTCTTCCGCTTCGCTTCAGGTGATCCGTTCGCTGTTTCGCTTCGAGTAGTTCCGATTACTGACAGCGTGTTTTTTTTCCTACCTAAGCTGAGAGGCTTGAGAGGCTATATCAGCGTAACCTTAACTAGTAGGTGAGCTCACGGGGCTCAAACCTGACGACGTTGGTAACGCGAACCCTAGCAAGAGCGAAGCACGTTCGCAGAATCTACCACCGGATCGGAAACGCGACCCACTGAGAAGATCCGGCGAGAAACTCAGTGGGCTGTGTCTGAGGGTTAATTTACTCGTCGAGCCCTTCGTCGCAAGCGACGGGTTCGACGAGGACGGTGACCGGGGACTGCGTGCCATCTCTGCAACGCTTTTATAGCCGATACCACATCCCTAGAATTATCGAGAGTATTCCACACATTCGAAACATCGGGAATAGTATACTCATATTATCGTACTAATTAACTATTTCCAGGATTCACAAAAACTAAAGGAAATATTATTTTGACACTTTTTAATTAACACTTAACAAAAACTAGATTATGTTTTCACGCGTACTATTTCACCTCTTCATTCTCAACAGTATCTGGTCTTATCTAATAAATGCCGTTTACATATGCACCCTCAAACCTTTATTGGTTTAAAACGCTATTCCAACTCTAGCGTGTAAATAAATTCAATTACTGAGTTAACGTATTGTTTTTTATTATGTCAAAGAAAAAGTAAATAAGTAAAAAATATTCGGACTAGATGTTGAACGAAATATGGGAGGCAATAGATTATGAAATCATTTGAACTAAATTCGTAATATTTTTGAATTCATTCTAATTGGTCAGAAGGGATCTTCGCCCCGATTTTGTCTGGAAGTAACGTCAAAGATATATGTAAGAATCTAATTGTAGTGTTGACCACGGTAACCATCCTACCACGCCCGGAGGGATCTTCGCCCCGATTTTGTCTGGAAGTAACGTCAAAGATATATGTAAGAATCTAATTGTAGTGTTGACCACGGTAACCATCCTACCACGCCCGGGTTTCGATCAGTGGGTGTCCTTTGGGCTTTTGGGTATGATTTTTTTTTTTAATTTTTAAATATTCTGTTTTTTTTTTTATTGCTTTTTTGGGTGGACGATCTCACAGCCCACCTGGTGTTAAGTGGTTACTGGAGCCCATAGACATCTACAACGTAAATGCGCCACCCACCTTGAGATATAAGTTCTAAGATCTCAGTACAATTACAACGGCTGTCCGAACCTTCAAACCGAAACGCATTACTGCTTCACGGCAGAAATAGGCAGGGTGGTGGTACCTACCCGTGCGGACTCACAAGAGATCCTACCACCATTAATTACGCAAATTATAATTTTGCGGGTGTGATTTTCTCATTTCATGTTTATACTGGTCTAGCTTGTTTTTCGATAGACCGACTTAAGTTCTTTATTTCGTTCCAATTATCAAAAGATCAAATAAATTAAATTAAAAGAATACAACGATTTTATAGTCTATCATTATGAGAGATATGTATGTATGTACCATATAAGACGGGCTTTAGACAGGCCTATATTTCCGCTAAATCAGCAGACCCATTGCGCATGAACGCTTCCAAGTGCCACTTGAGTTCACTCTACTGAACTCACTAGGCGGTCTTCACTCGATTCTAATTAAATAAAGCCTGAGAAAAGCATAACAAAAAACACAAAATTAAATTTACATTACATTTTAAAATTAACTCACAAATTTAATCAAGAGGTTAAGTGAAAAAAACTCCTGACTAAATTATAATAGCAAAGTAATTTTCGAGGCATTTGATTCTACTCGTCGGGGACTATTGATAACATAAAAAGGTAGGCGCTTTTATCGGTGAAATACTAGTTAATTTATTTCACTATATTCAACAATTCTTCACGAACTTAATTTTCGTGTTACAAAAGGTCAAAGATAAATTATTCTATGACTGCTACTATTAATCTATTTCAAGTTGCACACGCTAAAGAAAGTATGTACTAACATATATTTCTTAAAGAATCTGTCTCTTTGCACCTATGAATCTTCTTGACATTGGAAGATCACTTGTAAACAAAACTTTATAGTGAAATTTATAGAAATAGAACTGTTACAGATATTATTGTGTATTTAATGATTTTTTTTCTGGTGGTACCTACCCGTGCGGACTCACAAGACGTCCTACCACCATTAATTACGCAAATTATAATTTTGCTTGTTTGATTTTCTCATTTTATGTTTATACGGGTCTAACTTGTTTTTCGATGGTCCAATTTAAGTTCTTTATTTCGTTTCCCAGATTCTGATCGGTGAATGGCTCGCCAGCAAAATGTCAGGGATGACAGGTGCCAGCATGCTTCGTACGCGCCGCAAGGATGTCAACGTCAAGCCGAATCGGAAGTGAGTTTTTTTTTTGGAATTTATGGTCTGGTATCTAGACCTTTAGGCCAAATCAGAAGTGAGTATTAACTGCCAGAATAGTAGAGGTTATTGGATAAAATTTTATTGATTTTAGGCTCTACTCTTACGTATAGTGTAACACCAAATGGCACCGCTTTGTATTTCCGTCCTTCTTGTCACCTTTTATGCTGTGAGTGAACTGGTTTATAAAGATAAAACATTTAAATAGTTCAAAAGAGTCTTGTTTATTAACCTAACCTCACTCAATAGAGGTAAGGGGCACTAACTTGTATAGGAGACTAAATGAAAAAGTATCCATTGTTAACAGCAAGTTATTGTTTGAAGACTCATAGAAACAGCGTTAGTATGGAAAGTGGAAATGTTAATATGAATATAACAGTTTTAAACTGACTGAAGTGTGCTGGGTTGAAGTGAAGTGTAGTAAGGTTATGGTGCGAATTTTATAATCTTTCCACTTTCTACCTTAATTTCTTCCTTTCATCGGACACTTTTAAAACACAGAGATTTTTCGTTTTTTTTTATTGCCCTTGTAGGCAGACGAGCATACGGCCCACCTGATGGTGAGTGGTTACCGTCGCCCATGGACTTCAGCAATGCCAGGAGCAGAGCCAAGCCGCTGCCTACCGGAAATTCACATTTCTACCCTCCATACATTAACTATACATATTGTATTCCACCTTATTACTACGGGAAAAGACCTCGCGATCTATCACTTGATCAAAGCTGTTTTGATCACTCACCAACATGTCTATATCTGAAGTATTAAGAACTGCCGAAGATAGAGATCCGTGGGAAAATTGTGCATTAAAAGATCAGAGAAACGTCTTCAAAGTAGATGAGATCTTCAGAAATGAAGATACCGACTCGTAATAAAGATTCTAGTTTATAATGGCAGTAGGATGGAAGACTATTCGGATAAGTACCGTTATCTGCTTTATTTCCAAAGTTCAAGATTTCAAAGTAACGGTATTCAGGTTATGATATCTACTCTTTTTTTCCTCGTACCTATGCTGATAGCCTTGAGAGGCTATTTCAGCTTCTCCGTGACGTGTAGGTGAGCTCACGGGGCTCAAACCCGGAGTGTTGCTAACACTGGCGACGCGACCCACTGATGAGATCCGGCGAGAAACTCAGTGGCTCGCGATTCCGATCCACTGTTAGATTCTGGGAAGCCCTGCTCTTGCTAGGTCTAGTGTTAGCAAGTTCTCTTAGATTGAGCCCGTGAGCTCATCTATCCGTCTGGGCCTAGCGAGAGTAGCGTCAAAAAAGCAGGTGGCCTATGTCAATTTTGCCTACCTAATAATACGAGATAATTAACTCAAAAGTATCCCACTATTTCGGATTTCGGCAATCGTATATTAGAAGAAAAATGTATATGCGACAAAAGCGAGATTACATAATGATTATTTTGTTCATTAACTTTAATAATTGTATTTAGATTGGACCGGAAATCGTCCCGGGGCATGCTATACGAGAACGAAGAACTCCGACTACGCACAATAAACATAAATGCTGAAGTTGAAAGAGGTGAGAAATACAGATTAATTCGCACAGCACAATAGTACTTAATCGCAAAGACAAATTTCACAAGGTCAAACCTGGATAAGCGAGAGTTCAAGGGAGCACGATCTCATTCTCGCTTATAGAGGTTTCTCACTAACCCGAGTTTCTCGCTAATGCTCCCTCTGAATTTCATTTCGCGATTTTCCGGATTCAAACGCATTCACTATTATAAGTTTATCACTTAATGACAGTACTTTAATTTTCCGTTTTGACATGATTCAGAACAGAACTTTCCTTCGCAATTGATTAACGATAAACTGAGTAAGTCCGACAAACAGGACGGTACACAGGCACACGTGTCCATTCGAAAAGAATGCAATAAATTAACAACGTTATTTAGTTCCACGACATAGAATGGGTTCAATAATGACGAGAAAACAATACAAAAACAATGGAAGAAAGTTCCACAAAAGTTAAGAATGAGTCATAAAATAGCAGATGTTAAATTTGTAATTTGTTTTTTCATTTGTTCCTCCTAAATAATATAAATAAATAAAGCTCGACTGTCGCTTATAGAGGTATAGATAAGTAGCAGTCTCACTTACGGAGGTCCATGAGGGAAAAACGACTCTCTCTTACAGAGGTTTCTGTTTCTCGCTAATGGAGGTTTTGGGAGCTTAAAATGACAGGTCCTGGCTATTACTCTCACTTATAGAGTTTTCTCACTTATCCAGTTCTCACTTACCCAGGTTTGACTGTAATTGTTTTTGTTATTCATAATTGAGCTAGGGTCTGCTAAAATACAAGATTAATCAATTAGGGAATATGGTTTAATTTGTTTTGTGGTTTGAAACATTATTTTTTATTGAACTCAAAGCTCATCTAGTGTTAAGTGGCTATTAGAAATCATAGACATCACAAGGTGATTACCATCTTACGATTAAAGGTCCATGTCTCAGTTGTATACGAATTACGTAAATTTTAATTGTTGTCGCTTTGATTTTTATTACAACAAGTTAGATCTTGGCCGCGGAAGTCATTTCATTAGAAAAATTGGGAAAGATTGGAATCGCTACATACAAATGCACCGGACGATAATCCTTTAGGCCGCGACGACTTGACAAAATGGTATATAATGCATGGTACCTGAACATAGATTCAATAGAACCAATTTTTCTAATGAAATACGTACTTAAGAAATGTTCACGATTGACTTCCACGGTGTAGGAATAATATCGTAACATCAACATCAATAACATAATAAAACCCATAAAATTATAATTTTCGTAATTAGGTACTGGTGGTAGAACCTCTTGTGAGTCCGCACGGGTAGGTACCGCCACCCTGCCTATTTCAGCCGTGAAGCAGTAATGCGTTTTGGTTTGAAGGGCAGCCATTGTAACTATACTGAGACCTTAGAACTTACATTTCAAAGTGGGTCGCGGCATTTACGTTGTAGATGTCTATGGGTTCCGGTAACCACTTAACACCAGGTGGCCCGTGAACTCGTCGATGCACCAAACCAATAAAAAAACCATAAAATCACCATCTCGGTTTACTTCTATAACAGTCCTCGCATACATTCAGACGGTCAGCCAAAGCTGCTCCGTGGCACGAATGGGCGCGATAATATCACCGCCATAAAAGTCTTCTAGTGTATTTTTTTTTTATTGCTTAGATGGGTGGACGAGCTCACAGCCCATCTGGTGTTAAGTGGTTACTGGAGCCCATAGACATTTACAACCCAAATGCGCTACCCACCTTGAGATATAAGTTGTAAGGTCTCAGTATAGTTACAACGGCTGCCCCGCCCTTCAAACCGAAACGCATTACTGCTTCACGGCAGAAATAGGCGCGGCGGTGGTACCTACCCGTGCGTACTCACAAGAGGTCCTACCACCAGTAGTCTTCTGAAACGTAAAATTTACGTATCTTCTCTTTCAACTTCAGGTCAGTCAGATATAAAGAAGTTAAAACGTGAAAACGAACAGCTGAAGAGGGAGATATCGGCCCTTCGTTATGAGTACGACAGACTGGACAGCATGCTCAGGGAGAGAAGGTCATCACCAGAACACTCGGACGTGCGTTACGCAAATATTAAAACGTAAAACCTAAATTAAATCCCAAATTCCAGAGGGGGAGAGAAGCGAGCGTTGAATCTCTTTACTGATTCTCTAAATACTCTCCATTCTATCTATACTATAAATCTACAATGGTTTTTACGGATGTTCCGTTATAACTACTAAACCATGCATCCGATTGACTTGAAACTTGGTATCCATGTAGAAAATACATGTACTTAATGAATAGGTTAATATTTATATGAGTGTTGGACTCCCTAATAATAATGTTAATTTTCAATGGGCAGCGAAGCGGGAGAGTACGGCTAGTCTATACTAATATATAAATCGACAGTGGTTTTAGGGATATTCCGTTATAACTACTGAACCATACATCCGATTGACTTGAAACTTGGTATACATCTAGAAAATACATGTACTTAATGGATAGGCCAATATTTATATGAGTGTTGGAGTCCCTACACCAGTTGCGGGAGCGTTAATGATGAGAATGTTTGTGGGGGTGAGAAATAATAATGTTAATTTTAAATGCCCAGCGAAGCGGACGGGTACAGCTATTCAATAATAAACCGGTCAGACGTAACCGGAGACATGCAGGACTCATCCTCCAGAGAGGTTTTTCTGCTATATTACGCCGTTTAGGTTCAAGATGAAACAATTGCAGAACCGGTTAAGCTGCTTCTGTATTATACTCGACATACCTACGACAAAATTCTGGGTATAAATAACTTCCGTCTCCAGATACAGGATTATTACATAGAAGCACTGTGGACACTTTCCCTGGAATTATGAGGGTTTATTTAATTAATGATGGTAGTTGTAAAGTAATCTCTGATGCATAAAATATATTGAAATTGAAATTTGATTTGGTGCACACATTGAAAACCTTGTTTTAAATCGTAAATGACTGACCACGCCATAGTTCGGAACGCAGTGCCATTTACAAATGACTTTTACAAGAAATTAATAGAAAATTATGTAAATATAGAATAATAAACGATTAAGCTTAGACTACAAACTTTTTAACGACATAGAGTACCTAAGGCTTTTCCACCCAGAGCAGTTTAGGCAATGGCTCATCTGTGGTCCTAGTTTCACTACGTAGTATAAAACAAAGTTGCTTTCTCTGTCCCTATATCTGTCTCTATGTATGCTTAAATCTTTAAAACTACGCAACGGATTTTGATGCGGTCTTTTAATAGATAGAGTAATTGAAGAAGAAAGTTTATATGTATATTTACATCCATTAAATAGTGGAGAAATCAATAATAAATTACAGTTTCCGAAGCGAAGCGAGGGCGGGTCGCTAGTTACTAATAAACTAATAACCATCTATTTATCCATCCACTGACGCCGTTGTGCAGTAGCTAGCGCCCCTAGTTGTTGCGCCAAGGATCGTGGGTTCGATTCCCACATCGGCCTACATTCCTGTGATGAAGAGGTTTGTTTGCTCTTTGTCTGGGTATCTGTTATCTACGTATTATGTATTTGTTTAAAAACGTATATAAATATAAGTATGTATGTCAGTCTCTCATACCCATAACACAGGGAATCCTAATTTGGGGCCGGACGACCGTGCGCTATATATTTCCGGTTATTATTATTAAATATAGTATCCTCGTCTGCCTATTAAGGCAATAAAAACGCAACGTCATAGCTGTGTAATGATGATAAGTGATTTCCAATCTAAATATCAGTATATAAAACACAATGTCGCTTGGCAGGACAGCGTGTCGTTATGCAGCGCGTGTCCAGAATGTGCCAGTGTGGACGGTTCGTCGCGAGCGGTCGCCTTCCATGACCTGAGCGTGGTGCCTGAAGAAGGCGAACAGGAACCTAAGGTACGTTAATAAGGTCACTTATATGTCTAGCAAATATAAATATTTTACTGGTGGTAGAACGACGTCTTGTGACTCCGCACAGGTAGGTACCACCACCCCGCCTATTTCTGCCGTGAGATAGTAATGCATTTCGGTTTGAAGGGTGGGGCAGCTGTTGTACTGAACCGAGAGTTTAGAACTCATGTCTCAAGATGGGTGGCGGCATTTACGTTGTAGATATCTATGGGCTCCGGTAACCACTTAACACCAAGTGGGCCGTGAGCTCTTTTTTTTCCTACCTATGCTGATAACCTTGAGAGGCGATTTCAGCTTCTCCTTGACATGTAGGTGATCTCACGGGCCTCAAACCGGGAGTGTTGCTATCATTGGCCCTAGCAAGAGCTGCTTCGCAGAATCTACCACCGGATTGAAACGCGACCCTCTCAGGGCCGTTTGAGCCCCGAGAGCTCACCTACACGCTAGGGCAACGCTGAAATAGCCTCAAGGCTATCAAAATAGGTAGGTAGGTAAAAAAAAACTATACAAACAAAACAATTTTCCACGTCACTGCCAAAAAGCGCTCAAGGCAAATTTACCTTTGACTCTTAAATCGACATTCGGCTTCGAGTGTGGATTCGCTTAAGTCCAGAAATAGTTTGGGGATGATTCACGAGGCATGTGGGACTTTACGCGCATACATCGAGATATATGACTAATTTTAGTGTCATTAGTCGACGGGAAAACACAAATACGGCACGCCTATACTTACTTATCACTGGTGGTAGGACGTCTTGTGAGTCCACGCGGGTAGGTACCACCACCCTGCCTATTTCTGCCGTGAAGTAATGCGTTTCGGTTTGAAGGATGGGGCAGCCTTGTATGGTTCAAACTGAAACCTTAGAACTCTTGTTTCAAGGTGGGTTGCGGCATTTACGTTGTAGATGTCCATGGGCTCCGGTAACCACTTAACACCAGGTGGGCCCTGAACTCGTCCACTCGTCTAAGCAATAAAAAAAACTTAAGTTGAAAGAGAAAATAAACCACTTCCTCTAACCCTTTTTTAGTTTTTTATTCGGCCTAAGAAAGTGAATTCAGTAGAAAGAAAATCTTTCGCGAATGATGCTCAGAGGTCGACGACCCGACACGATTTGATTCTTTAGCAAATTCTTCTTCAATGTTTTTTTTATATTATAGCCATTCATAAATTACTTACTACATGGCTATTATGTTAATGGCTTTATAACACACACTCACAGTACCTAATGCTTAGTTTTAATATATTATTTTGAGGAACATATTTGAAATTTGAAAATTTCAAATTCACAATTGACATTGTCTATGACAACAACAAGATATTATTTTTGTGACTAAATTTGTCTGTTAAAATAAATAGAATCTACCTTTTAAATCCTATCATATAATTGTCAATTCTTCGGTTTTAACGAGTCGCAGACGTAATTACAAGTACATATTTCTACAGTATAACCGCACCACTTTTATTGTCATTCAAATACTATTTTTGACGTTTTGAATACATTACAGTTTTCGTAATCGCGCGCATTGTGAGTCTTCATAGAAAACGCGACATGAAGCCGTAAAATTCTAATAGTTTTAATTATCAAAGGATTCATTAAAAAGGTTCAAAAAAACCGGCCACATCATCGTTTCTTAATAGTTATAAATCATCTAATTAATGCTTTTGGTATGCGTTGTGAATGTGTAACAGGATTTTGTAAGGTAAATATATGGCAATTTCATTTACTACTAGCTGACCCGGCAGATTTCGTAGTGGCTCAATCGATAAACAAAAGACCCAAACTTTTGTAAAAAACAAACAAAAATAATCTGTCCGACTGGGGACGCATCAAAGGAAAAACAAAATCGTTTTTTTTATTTAATTCCGAGCATTTTCATTCATTTATCTACCTTTTAAACCTTCTCTGGACTTCAACAAATAATTCAAGACCAAAATTAGCCAAATCGGTCCAGCCGTTCTCGAGTTTTAGCGAGACTAACGAACAGCAATTCATTTTTATATGTATAGATTACTCCATAACATCTTTCAAACCCTATTTTACCATACCACAAAAACATAACATTACGAATCAATTTCCTTATGAAAGAAACATTATTAGAAAAATTATCTCAAACAAACAAATCAGCTGTCTTGTTCGCTAAACTGATATACCAATTGAATAAATACAAAATGCTTTTCGAACTTCAAAGGTTTTTCCTGGTAACAATTGATTAATTTAGTAATTCAATTACGTCATGTTTATAAACACAGATTAGATGAAGATTATAGTTAGTTAACAAACACATAATTATGATGTATGTGATTAAGACAGGCTCACTTCTCACACATACTTATTAGTCTGAAGTTTTTTTTTTTTTTTTGAAGTGAAAACTTCTTTAGAATCGTTGTGATTTCAAACCGGATGCAACGGAAAAAACGACAGGTAAGAGACACAAATACAAAAATGTGTAGGATGAAGCCAGCAAAGAATGAGACAGAAATATACATACTATTTAATACAGCGCCATCTGTGAGATTTTTTAATACTAACGTGTGTATGAAAGCTCT